CAGGGTCGCCCCTGGAAAAGCACCTTGTCCCCATGCAAATGGGGACAAGGGCCTCTTCCCCACAAGCCCTGAGACGTTGGTTGTGGGGGTGCAGACAGGGGGGCTTATTCACATCAGTGTATCCCTTGATGCCGCCCCTCCTTGTGAATGACTTTGCCTAATCAGGGCTTCACAGTTCTCTGTGCAATGATTTTGGCAAAGTCATGCACCTGTCCTGTGGTCAGGTGCAAGGCTTTAGCCAATCAGGGCTCACAAGGCACATTGCTTTGTGTGGGATGATCAGCGTACATCGAGCCCAAAACGAATCTGAACCCCCTCTGAAAATATTATGCAGTACTTCCAGCACTGAGCTTTGTGTCTCTATGAAAAAAGCAGGCCAGGTTGAGTCAGCTGCCCACTGCACACACGTCAAGTCAAGGGCGAGTTATTAATATGTCTGTACACTGCCAGGATAGTGAGGCAATAGGGGAATCAGGTGACCCCTAAAAAACATAGATAAAGAACTAAGGTAATCATGACTCTTTTTATTCTTTCAGTCCACATTAATTTTGGTTTAGCAGATGGCCCAACATGTCTGCTTTACAATGGACACTACTCTCAGTGCCGTTGCTGCCACTAGGCAAACTAGGCAGCCGTCTTGGGCGCACTGCTGCCTAGGGTGCAGCCTCGATCACTCACCCCTCCCGTCCACATGGCACCCCTGTCTATTTCAAATTGCAAAAGCCAATTGCAGGCTGGCTATTGCACCCACCCACTGAGCAGAGGAGCGGAACCGAGAGGCAACTCTCTCTCTCAGGTGCGCTCCTCTGCTCAGCAGGTGCGTTTTCAATAGCCAGTCTGCTATTGGCTATTTCAAATTAAATGCGCCCGCCCACTGCCTGCTGTCAATCAGCAGAGGAGGAGCTGAAGGAGAACCCAGGACATTGCCATTCATTTAAAAAACACTATAGGTGCAATTCAGGAAGAGATCGCCATTGTCCAGTCATCTTTCCCTATTAACGTACCAGACCCACCATCACACTTGTTACTTTCCACTTTTGCCCCTGTCCCCACAGAGGAGGTTACAAAGCTTCTTTCTAACACCTGCCTCACCACCTGGCCCCTGGACCCTTTTCCCTCACCAGTACTCCGGTCAACCTCCTGCTCTATCCTACACTCTCTGACTCACATTTTAAATCTTTCCCTCTCTACTGGCATCTTCTCCTCCCCTCTAAAAGATGCGCTGGTCACCTCAATACCCAAAAACAATCACTGGACCCCACCAACTTTAACAATCTTCCTACTCCCGTTCACCTCCAAACGCCTAGAACTTTTTTCTACAACCGTCACCGCACTGATAACAACCTTCTCGACCTCTTGAAGTCCGGCTTTTGTCCGCACCACTCCATTGAAACCGCCTTCCTAAAACTTACGAATGACTTACTTACGGCTAAAAACAATGGCCGCTAATCCTCACTGTTGTTATTAGACCTTTCTGCTGCTTTTGACTCAGTTGACAACCTGCTGCTCCTCAAAAAACTCCACCTAACTCTTCCTCTCCTCTTCCTCTTTCTGTGGGGGTTCCCCAAGACTCAGTCCTTGGACCCCTTCTTTTTTCTATCTACACCACCTCTCTTGGTCAGTTAATAACCTCCCATGGCTTCCAATACCATCTCTCGATGACACTCAAATATATCTTTCCACTGATCAGCTCACCTCCTCAGTGTCCTTGCGTGTCACTTATTTGATAACTGACATATTCGTCTGGATGTCACAACACTTCTTCAAACTCAATCTTTCAAAAACTGAGCTCATGACATTTCCTCCTGCCCTTGCACCTTCCCCTAACTTTTCCATTGAGATTGATAACACAACTATCCACCCCTCCTCTCATGCCAAGGTGCTAGGTGTCATCCTTAACTCGGACCTCACCTTTCTGCCCCACATCCAATCACTATCCAAATCTTGCCGCCTTCACCTTCGTAACATCTCCAAAATATGCACCTTCCTCACCAATGAAACCACAAAGCTACTCATCCACTCACTTGTTATCTCTCGTCTTGACTATTGCAACTCCCTGACCATTGGCCTACCTCTACACAAGCTATCCCTCTTCAGTCTATTATGAATGCTGCTGATAGACTCATTTACCTAACCAACCACGCAGTTTCTGCAACCCCCCTCTGCCAATCCCTGCAGGGGATAAAAGGATAAAGGATAACATTTAAAATATTAACAACCACTTACAAAGCCATCCACAACTCTGCCCCCAGCTATATCTCCAACCTTGTCTCAAAGTATCACCCTGACCGCCCCCTCCGCTCTTCCAAAGACTTCCTGCTCTTTAGCTCCCTCTTCAACTCCTCCCAGTCTCTCCATTCCTCTGGAACTCCTTACCCCAACCTGTCTGTCTATCTCCCCCTCTGACTGCCTTTAGGCGATCCCTTAAGACTCATCTCTTCAGGTAAGCCTATCCAGCCTCAAACTAACCAGTGAACTATCACGTTCTCAAACAATTCATCCCCACACAGCTACCTCCATATGTTTCACTTGCCCCTCCCTTTTAGATTGTAAGCTTTCATGGGTAGGGCCCTCCTTACTATCTTGCCTTGAAATGTATTGTATCTGTAATGTCTTCCTTATATTGTAAAGCGCTGTGCAAACTGCTGGCTGTATATAAATCCTGTATAATAATAATAATGATACACATGTCAGGTATCGCCGTGTGCGACAGAGTGAAAGCAATAATTCTCAGGCCAGTTTTATTCTGAAGTAAACTTCATGTTTGTAACATTCCATTTATGTATTTAATTTTAAATAAAAGATGGTATTTCATTATTTATTATCCGATTAATCGAAAAAAAATTATTAGCCAACTAATCAGTTATACAAATAATCATTAGTTACAGCCTTAGCTGCTAGGCAGAGGTACTGACCACTAAGCCACTGTACTGCCATGTGTAGATGCCATTTTTATTTTGCTTGTCGTGTTTATACAGATAGACACTAGAGGTATTTATCTGTTATTGAGTAACTCTAGGCTTCTGGTGTGTTCTTGCACCTTTAAGGAGAATTGGGCTGCCTCCAAGGTATACCTGCTTTTGAGTTTTTCATTGCTATATGCAACCCATGATATGTTTTGCAGCAAATAAATTATTAATAAGGAATTACAAGAATTACAAGAAGAAATTCAAATCTAATGTGTAGTTGATGGTTAAAGTAAACACTGCATGAAGATATTAACCTTCAAAAAGGACCATTTACATTTTAGTGACATGCTTTCCTGCATTTTAAATTACCCATGCTCTCTTCTAATAATTTCAGAGATACATTTCTTATGAATTTGCCGTGTTTTTGAGGTTAAAGATGTATTTTACATCCAGGGTACACACACAATTTTCCCCCTTGGAAAACATATTTTATAACTTGTACAAGAACATCCCCACCTCATGCCTAAAATCTGCTGCTTGTCATCATATAAAAACACATTTAAAAGTACGTGATTAAAATGTTTGTGTTTCAGAGCAGAGATATAAGCACCAACTTTGCATGTTTTCAGAAACCTTTAATAATCAGTAATTTTTTTCTTTCAAAGATTTGATCACTTCATAAAAAAGAAATCTACTAGCAGGAATAAAGATAAGGTATTCTGATTCTCCTCTGCAATGGCTGAATATTGAGCAGTCCAGAATGAGCAAATCTCTGACACTTTCTGGTAGTGATGGAACTTGCCTCCCGCCTTCTACTTCAAACACCACTGGCCAAATTGGCAGCTCATCATAGTGATGGGCTGATAAGAATGTGGGGGTGGTGGGAGGGAGCAAGCAAGTTCTTACACTACCTGGAAGTATTGGAGCTTTGATTGATCAGAACTTCCAGCTTACTTAGATATGCAGTTGTCATGGTGCTGCACATGTGACTAACTCTAACTCTAGTCATTTCAAGGCTTGAAGGTGCAGTTGAGAGCTGACACATGCACACTGGCAACTGTGATCGCTATCACCAGAAGCATGCTTTGAATGTAACTCTTTTAGGAAACAGTTAAATCAATGGGTTTAGTTCTGCTATAAGTTCTTACCTACCAGGTAAAAGGTAGCACATGGTTCCAGTTGTTACAATGCGATGACATAGGACATGCTGAAAGGTGGAGAGAGCAGACTGAACAGAAATAAACACTCATTGGTAGGATAGGAAGAGTGATTGCAGCAAAAATTAATTTCACTGCAAAATAACAAGTTCACTTTCATTCAAATTCTATTGAAATTAGCCTCTAATATTATTATTATTATACAGGATTTATTTAGCGCCAACAGTTTGTGCAGCGCTTTACAATATAAGGAAGACATTACAATCACAATACAATTCAAGAGCAGATGGTAAGGAGGTCCCTGCCCGTGACGGCTTACAATCTAAAAGAGAGGGACAAGTGATATATGAGGAGGTAGCTGTGAGGGGATGAATTGTTTGAGAACGTGATGGTTCAGTGGTTAGGTTGAGGTGGGATATTATCATGATGATAATATCATCATGATGTGCCGTTTAGGTGATATGTGCTTGTAAAATGCCCCTCCCCCAAACCACCCCTAACAACTAATCAGTGCAGTGAATACTGCAGCAAATTAAAAGGTTTATTAGAAGCGAACTACAAACATCGTTGGAAAGATGGAATAAGCTAGGTGTGGTTTTATAGTGGCAGGTACATTACATGATCCTTTAAACAAATAGATCTGACTTCACAAAATGTAGGCAAATCCAATGACAATCTAAATGACAATACATGGCTACAAATGGGGAATAGTCACAAATGCAGGCAAACAAGCAATTGCGGCAACATACTTGCATTAAGCAGCCAATCATGACAATATTTGGGCAGAAAATAGGTTAACATAACAAAACACCAACAACAACAACCAGGTAATAATGACAATACGTGAGCACCAAACAGGCAGTCATGACAATATCAAGTGTCCAGTTGTTATAAACAAACGTTAAATTGCATTAATGCTTGGGCCCAGTATGCAAGAAAAGGGCAAGCATGACAATTTACAGGCAAGAAACAGACAAAGGTGATGATTCATGTGCAACAAACAGTCATTACAAAATGTGGGAAACTAATGGCCAATTGTGACAATGCATGAGCAGTCATTACAATACACATACAACAAAATGGCTATCATTCCAAAATGCGCGCAACAAAAGGGCAGTCGTTACAATACCCCTGTTAGTATATAATATGTAACATCATGTTTACAGCTCATGAGGGTCCCAAGAACAGGTCCAGGATAGTTGAAAGATAAACCCCTAACCTTCGGAAGCAATTTAAAACTGATTACACCCTAAAAACCACATTCATTTTAACTTTCACATTGACATCAGTGCATTTAGCCAAATTACAAAATGTCATGATTATTCAACTAAGTTTCAGGAAACAGAAATCTCAGATTAACTCACCCCTACTCATAAATGTGCTAAGTTTCTTCATTATCCAATCACTGGCTGAGGGCAGGGAGGTAACCCAGCTGTACTCAATATCTGCAGAAAAAAAGTCAGGTCAGCAGCCTGGCTGTGCTCTCTGACTGTACTCTGTAAATCTCAGGACTAGACAGGCAAGAGTATAAATCATTTGCTCGTTCCCCCAGATACACATACTCTCCTTTTCCTTGCTTCCCTGCCAATCCATTCAGTATCCAGGATCAATGAAAATGCCTTTTGCTTGGGGGTTTGGGAGGAGCATTTGACTTAAACCATGTGATAGTGTTAGTACTTGGCTCAGTTCTGTAATATGAGGAAGGGGAGATAGTCAGCCCTGTGTAAGCTTCTGCTGAAAATCTTTCCTCA